CACCTCAGAATCCTTGTGGGGGCTGGGGAGCCTAGCAGGGTAGAAGCTCAGTCAGCACATAAGAACTAAAGACTGGCCAGTGGCTGTAGGCTCACGCTTGCCCTGAGGACTTACATGTGCCTGGTCCTCCCCACAGACAGGTCCAGCCTCAGGTACTGCTCCCATAGCCAAGCGACGGCCAGGCATCTCTGACCACTCAGCAGAGCTTCAGGACATCTCAGTGAGGTGGCCAATGAGCCCTGCCATGGGCCCACAAGTTTCTCTCTTCAAGTCCTTACAGAAGAAGTGCTTCAAGATACCCTTTTTCTAGGTCAGCATACTTAAGGAGGGATATTTTTTTGATAGACATATTATTTTTATTTCTTTTTATTTGAATAAAATTTTTATTTTATACTAGTTTACTTACAAAGTTCATATCCATTGTTTTTCCACACCGGAATTTTCCCATTTCGTTTACTCACCCCCACCAAATTGTGTGACCCTATGATTACTCCCCTGCCCATGCTCACCCCTCTGCTCCTATCCTCCTCCCCTTGGTTCTTCATATGCATGTTATTAGCTACCTTTCTATTTCTACAATAGTGGTCTTACACAGTATTTGTGCTTATGGGACTGAGTTAGTTCAATGTTCTCCAGTCCAAGAGGGATTTCTTTTTTTTTCTTCAGTGAGACTGGCTCAGGACAGGGCAGGGTTCAGAGAGAGCTATTATATATAGGGTCGCTTTGAGTCGCAGGTGACTCGATGGCACATAGCAACAACATAAGAGTACAAAGTGGGGAGATTTAACGTGGCAGAAAAGAACTAGTAGGCCGACTACAATGGACAAAGTTTCGACGTCCACAAGACTTGACGCCCCATGAGGCAATGCCATGTGGGCCTTGCTGACTCCTATCTTGCCAGCACCAGGCACAGGTCATCCCAGGGAGGATAAACGAATGAAAGAATGAACTGGCACGGAGCTCAGCGCCAGTGGGGAGGCATGCCATGTGTCCTGATGTAAGTAAGTATGGGAAATGAAAATATTCTCATCTGCCTCAGTGGAGTTCTCAAGTCACTGGGAGGGTCTAACAGAAACACGGAACACTGGGTTCTTGTGGGAAGAATCAGTCTCAAAACTTCTCTTCACAAACTCAAATTCTGGTTCCAGGTTTTATCTTTCTTCCTTTTATCTTTCCTCCTCCTTGGGGAGCTTTGGTGGCCTACTGGCAAGAAGCTGTGCTACAATTCCAAAGGCATGTGGTTCAAGTCCACCAGTCACTCCACAGGAAAAGGATGGGCGATCTCCTCCTTATAGCGATTAACTGCCTCTGAAACTCTCCAGAAGGTCAGCTATGAATCGGTTCCAACTCAATGATACACAACACTAACAATGGTATATTGGGTTAAATGTTGGGCTGCTAAGTTAAAGGTCAGTGATTCAAACCCACCATTCTTTTTTTTCTTCTTCTTCTGTACAACCAGTTTATTCATTGCAAATACCTTTTACAAAAAAAAACATAAACACAGGCTATACGCCTGGATTTCATCTGATGGTATGCATTGGAATCAGATAGATTACATCTGTGGAAAGAATCCCTACCATTCACTTTGTGGAACAAAGATGAAGGAGTTTGTTTCCATTAAGATTCACAGCCTTGGAAACTCCACAGGGCAGTTTTACTTTGTCCTGTGGGGTTTTTAATGAGTCAGAACTGACTTAACAGCAAATCTTCTCATATGATGGAGGAGGGGGAAGCTGTGTTAATAAAGGTCAGTGGCTCTCTAGGAAACCTTAGGAGATCAAGAAGGGTTCAGCACACTACCTGGCAAATACTATATTAAACTCTACTCCACTCATTCCAATCCAAGCCTGACCATCGCACTGAGAAGTGATTACAATCAACAAGAGGCCAGGCAGATACACTGTTGTCTCCTGCCTGCTATAATCACCTGGATTCTCCGGCACCAGCAAACTGTCCTGGATCAGGCACTGTTAGGACTTTTCACATGCTGTTTTCCCTTCATTATTCAAGGAGGGCCGGAGTAGTTGAAATTCCTAAGATTCAGAGAGAAGTCTGGCAGGGTTGCGTAAGGCAAGCCTTCTGATCAAACCCTTCTTTAAAGAAGCCAGGAATCCAATGTTGCAAGCAATGTTTCTTGGGGCCCTGGCTGGGTGTGTGAGTGGAGCTTATAAAAGACAAGAATGTCAGACATTGCCATTATTCTGCCTAACCTACTAGGGGTGGTCCACCTCTGCCCAAGCTCCCAAGATCATTTTCTGGCCTGGGTCATCCACCTCCAGGAACAAGGGCCAGTTACAGAAGTACTTTCCACTAATGGCGGCTGTCAGTGAATCCCATCAGACCCTTATGCAGGAAAGACTACAAGCAGAACCTTTCAGTAGTAAAACATGGACTTCCAGACTAGCGGCAAAGCTATAAATGTTTAGGGGTAAAGAAATCTCATGCCCATTTTCCAGATGGGGAAGCTAGAAGCTCAAAAGTCAGGGGATTTGCACATGGTCACACCGACGGAATCCAGAGCTAATTTGAAAGCCTCAACCTTTTTATGTTGCCCCTAGTGTCAACTTCTTTTAGTAATAAACTTAACCCACATTTTATCAGTTTAGTAAATCTGTAGTTTAGTAAATCTGTAGCTCATAACTCTGAGTAGTCTCAAACAGAGATAGACGATTACAAACATTTGATTCAACCCACCTGATTCTCCTTCAATAAATCACAGATTTTAGAGTGGCAAGAGGCCTCAGGGATCCAGTCCAAGCTCTTCATTTTACAAGACAAGTGGCAGACGTCTCTGGGGTGGAGTATTTCACCCAAACTTGTTGGTAATCCAGGAAATAAACTCTAAAAGTCTAAATTCCTTAAACAACTAAAAAAAAAAACCACCCAAATTCTATTTTTTCAGAGCAATAGACAGAATCAAAAGGTTAGAGGGTCAAATCCACTCAGAAGTACTTCCAAAGAAAGGCCCTAGGATTTATTTCTGAAAAACCTGACACTGAATATTCCTTTGGAATACAGTTCTACTCTGACACACCTGGCATTGCCAGGAGTCAGAACTGACCTGACGGGAACCTGCAGAATGAACGTGAACCTACACCACAGGGGAGAGAACCTGGAGCTGGATATTAGCTCTCATTTCCACTGCAAATCCTCATTAGGCCTCACAATGGTCTTTGGATGCCAGAGATGAACACCCATATAAACACCCAGGAACTTAGAAGGGAGGCCACTGGATAAACAAGCTCTGAGACAAAAATAGCTCAACTTTTAGGGCCATCACATTGCCACACCCTCACCAAAAAGAACAAGGACCTTTGGGAGTCAGGGTACCTGGAGGACACTGGCATTTCCAGAGAGCAAACAGCAAACAGTTCTCCTATCTAAACTCTGGGGACCAGAAAGGGGATAATGTGAGAGATGCCAACACAGAGACGCTTTCCTCATCCACAACACAGAAGTCCATGCCGCAGGAGGACCCCTCCCCCGGAACTAAGCCACAGAGGCTCCTATTGTATCAGCTTGAAAACGGAACTTCGCTGGACAAGCACACTCTGCAGTGTCCAAGAAATCCTTTCTCTCACCACTTGAAAATCAGCAGCATGCATGCAGAACTTGTGTGGGGTTTGGTTGGGTTAGTTTTTCAGGCAAAGTCTTGATCAACCCTGTTTCAGTAACTGTAATCAAATATTCTAATAGCCACCACTGATCCGAGGCTTCTTTCTGTCCTTGGCTTCTGGGCTTTTAAGAAAAGAAAACTGAGGGAGAGAGTGTCACTCCACCCTGGGTAATTTGGACCAAAGAGGGACTGACTGGGTTTGTAGTCTGCAGAGAAGGGGGAGGGCTGGCCTTGTAATAATTACTTGCAAATCGTTGGCTGGGTCTTTGACAGCTGGCCCAGGCAATTAGCAATAAGGGGACGGCGAAGATGGGAAAATGAGCTTCTAATAAAAATAAAACATTCTGAGACCCGCAGAAGGCCAGGTTTAGTCACACAAGGTGACAAGCCCCTTCCTCAAGACTGAAGCTGCTACTAATTGACCCCTGAAACGTCAAAGGCTTCCAAGTCCCTGGACAAAAGCAAGTTGGGATTGGCACTAGTTTCCCGCTATTGTGTATGGGGGTGGGGGAGGGTGGGCAAGGAGAGACGCCCTCTGAGAACCCAACACCCCTTTTTGGCTGGTTCAAAAAGCCTTTTAACACTTGCACTTCCCCAATAGCTCTCATTTGAGCGAAGGGCCTCCCCGTTTATCTTATTTCTTCTTTGCAGTCGGGGCTGTCTCCACCCGAACCCCTTTAATAGTGTCATCTTCCCACCCCAGGCTTCATTCCCCAGCATAATCCTGCCTAAGCCAGAACCCAATGGGTGGGGGAGGGGAAGGGCGCGTGAGTGAGTAATTACATTTTGAGCAGCGCAAAGCTGTGGCAACACGAAAGGAAAGCACCGAATGCCTGAACGAAAAAAAAAAAAATGCCGTTTCAGCAAACACTTTTTGAAAAGCGGCAGACAAGAACCTGGAGGAGAGGGGCGAGCCCGAGTCTAGGGAGTCAGGGGACTTGTCCCCACAGTTGAGCGGGACGCCCCCCCCCCCCCCCCCAAGCCTTCAAGCCGGCCCATGGCCGCTCCGCTAAGTCACACAAAGGTCCAGAATCTGACTCAAAGGGAGGGTGAGTCCTGGGGACCCCAAACTGGAAATGGTGTGAGGGTGGAGAAAGGGGGCGGGGAGGTCTATGGCAGCCCACCCCTCCCCAAAGCCCATAACCTCCCCAGCACGCCTTCCCCCAGCACACACGTCCTGCCCTGGGCAGGACTCCATCCTGGATCCCGGTGCTTCTGCACAAGCGAACCGAGGAAGGTCCCCGGGCAGCCCAGGATCAAGGATGCAACTTAGGAAAGAGTAAACTAGGGCAGCAAAGGAGGTACCGGGGCGCTGTTCCAGGACTGTGGACTCCCTTGACCCTGCAGGTTCAGCCCGTGCCGGGCGTCCCGGCACCCTTACCTCCAGGGTTCGAATCTCCTGCTGGGTGAGGTCGTTGGACACGGAGCACTTGGTGCGCAGCCCGCGCAGGCTGCCGATGGAGATGTCGATGAGCTTCTGGAGCTGCCCGCACTGCTGCAGCGCCCGACTGGCCGCAGCCCCGGCGCCCTCATCGGCGGCCGCCGCGTCCCCTCCGCCGCCGCCCTCCTTCTTCTCCCCCATCGCCGCTGCGCGCCGTGCCGCTTTATCCATGCCTCGGCATCGGAGCCGCCGAGTGGCCGAGGCTGGGGGCCCGGGGGCGCGGGCGCCTCGGAGGGGAATCCTCGAGCTGGAAAGATCGGATGCGGAGCGAGGCAGAGCGCAGCCCAAGCCGAGACACGAGCAGAGCCCGGCACTAAGCGCGCTCCTCCGCCCGCCCAGCGAAGCAGCAAAGCGAAAGCCGCGGCGATCCGACGGCTGCGGCTCATGAGCCTTTAAGGGGCAGTGGGGGCCGGGCTAGGGCGGCGGGGCATGCTGGGACTTGTAGTCTGCGCCGCCTACCTGCTGCCCGGCCAGCGCCTGTGGTTGGTGGGGGTGTGGACACTGCTTCCCGCACCGCTGTCACCGTGCACGGTCCAGTCCGGGTGCAGGCCGCGCAGGAGAACTCGCCTTAGCGCCCCGAGAGCTGCAGCTTCATGTTGGCTCCTCCCCTGGGCTCAAGGAGCCGGGGCGCCTGGTCCCCCCACCACTGCAGCAACTGCAGCCTGGGGGCTTCCCCAGACCTCTGGATGGGGCGGGGAAAGGGCACGAGTCTGGCAATTCCTTAGCTGCCACCGAGTCCTGGAGAACAGAGGCAACGAGATTCTAGATTTTTCTTTGTGGATTCAGGGGGCCGCCATCTAGTGGGAAGGGGTCTAAAGGAAGTGCTCTGTAGGTGGTCTGCATAGCACTTCACCATTGATTGTCCACACTAAAAAGACAGCTGCGTAGCTAAGAAGGATAAAGGTCTTCTGGACCCTAGATACCCACCAAAATAATATCCTATCCCTTCCTCATCCCAACCCTAGGGTCCAGTACAGGTATATGGGATAATGCATTAATCTAATGCTCTGCATTTAGGACTCTACTGCAAACAACAAATAAGAACAATGAATAAAAAGAAAGATCGAAAAAGAATCAATGCCTTAAAATTATGGTATTGGAGAAGCAACTGTCTCATAAACTGCAAAAAGAATAAACCAGTCTTGGAGGAAGTGCTCTTTAGAAGCAAGGATGGTGAAACTTCATCTCATATATTTTGGGCATGTTGTCACGGGGGCCAGTTCTTGGGAAAAGCCATCATGCTGGGAAAGGTGGAGAGCCAGAGAAAAACGTTCAACAAGATAGACTGATACAGTGATTATGATAACAGGTTTGAACATGGTGCAGGATGTAGATGGCACTGGTGAGTGCAAGGTTCAGATCTATTGTTCATAGGGCTACTGGGAGTTGGGAGTCCACACAAGAGCAACCTAACAACAACAACAGAGGAAATGGCCAGGTTCAGATTCTCACACCACTTCCTGACAGTGTGACCTTGGTCACTGTGTGTGTCAGAGGGTCCTTGCCACTGAAAGAGACTGATAATGATAACTTTCTCATTGGACTCTTCTAAAGAATGAGCTAATGTAGGGCACACTACCTGTATAGATTATTGGCCGTGTACTCAACTGGAAAAAGGCTAGCCAGTATTGCCCAGGCTTATCTAAGTATGGCTTTCACCAGTACACTATGCTGGGGAGCAGTACTGCCTTGGCTGGTAGTCTCTGTTCCTACACGCCCTAACCCAACAGTCAAGCCCATCTGTTCATCCACCTTTCACCCCCCCCCCCCACCATGCCACCTCCTCTCTCTATTGTCTGACTAAACAAAAATCATGACTGATAAAAGGTCCCACATGTCCCAACTTCCAACATCTGCCAGCCAGGAGCAGTGTTTCATCTTTTAATTATACTCTCTTTTGGTGGTGGTGTTGTTAGGTGCACACCACTCATATCAATCCTAGGAACAGTAATAGACCAGAACCTTGCCCTACCTACTGCCAACCTTGTGGTCTCTGTCAGGTTTGAGGCCATTGTTACATTCTCTCTTGTGAACTCCTTGATTGCAGAATTGGCTAATTTTACCTTTGAATCTTCTCAGAGCCTAATACAAGCAATAAAGTTGGGCGACCATTCTGTGAGCTCTTTCACGTAGGGAATCCTCATGCCTTGCTCCTCCAGTCTTCAGGGCAGCTCAGGAGATGCTCAGAGTGTTATTGTGTAGGATGAGGGCCGGGCAGGAGATAGGGTCCAAACTTTGAATTCCAGCCTGAGTTGTTGTTGTTGTTAAGTGCCATCGAGTCGTAGACAACTCGTAGCGACCCTATGAACGAAAGACCTGAACACTTGTATAACTTTTATCCTTTCTTCAAGTTCATAGAGTTTCTGGAGGCAAGCTATTTCAGAAGTGGATGCCACTCCTGCTTCCAAGCTTGTTTTAATCGGGGAGCTCCACCCAACACTGTCCACCATGGATAACCATCATTGCATGTGACACATCAGTGTCACAGTTTTTAGCATCTCAGCAAGCACAAGTTACCTCTGTACAGCAAGTGGACAGACCAGTGCAATACCACTTAGAAGAATATTTGGCCAGAAACAATTAAAACCAAGCCTGAGAGCCGCAGATTAAAATCACCCCCCTTTGGCTTGGTAGCAAAACTTTCTATCCACTAGGCCAACAGAGCAGCCCGAGCTGTAGAAACTAAAATAATTAGCACTGGCTGACAATTTCTTTTCTTTTTTTTTTCTTGTGGTTTGTGTGAATTTTTTTCCAACCATTCACATCCATTTTGTTTTATAACATTAATTACTACACCCTCAATATAACTTCTCTTTTCCTCCTGTGAGTTTCATTCCCATTAATCTTTCTGGTCTGCCTATACATATGCACCATATTCCACTGTTTTCTGTGTTTTACCCTTGGGCAACTGCTGCTTTTTTGTCCTTACACGGTGGTTCACTCTAAGGAACAAGTGCCTCCCTTGTGTTGTCAGCCAGCTCTTATTGTTAAGCCCCATCAAGAATGACTCATGAGGAAGTCCTGGTGGACTAGTGGCAAGAAACTGCACTGCAATCCCAAAGGCAGATCGTTTGAATCCACCAGATGCTCCTCTGGAGAAGGAAGGGCAATCTCCTCCTGTGCCAGCTGGATCTGAGTCAACAGCACACAACAAGGGGGAGGGGACGACACATGGTGACCCTATGAGCAACAGATCTGAGCCCTTTCCTCTCCTGCACCATCTCTATCATCCCTGACACACTTGAGCCCATTGCTGTGGATGTTGTGCCAATTCACCTCATTGAGGTTCTTGCTGTCCCTTGCTGACCCTCTACCTTTCCAAACATGATGCCCAGTTCCAAGGAATAGTCTCTCCTAACAACGTGAACAGATGTGTCTTGGAGAAAATGCAAACAGAGTGTTCCTTAGATGCAAAGACAGCAAGCAAACCTTCATCTCATGTATTTTGGCCAGTGTATAGGCCTAGTACAAGTTGCTGTACCGTGGTCACTTGTGGTTGCTGTGAGGCTGAACACTGTGACACTGATGTGTCAAATGTGTTAATGGCTGTTTACCCAATACGGACAGAGAGTGGGGTGGAGCTCCCCGATGAAAACAAGCTTGGAAGGAGGAGTGGCATCCACTTCCGTAATAGCTTGCCTCTGGAAACCCTATGAACCTGGAGAGAGGATGAGGCACCCAAGCGTCGAGGACTCTCCTTCATAGGGTCGCTATGAGTCACCTACAACTCAACGGCACTTAACAACAACAACAAATGTAGGCCTATTGGCTGAAAGTTGAGCCCCAGGGGTAAGTTTTGTATCAGGTTCTAAGGGTGATTAAGGACCAACAATTCAGAGGTTCTACCAGTCTCTATTAGGCCAGTAAGACTGGGATTTTTTAAATGTCTTTGAGCTTTGTTCCACATTTTTCCCTATTGTATTAAAGATGTATAGCTTTTATAGTGATCAGCACTGATCGCTGCGCACCATTTAGTACTTCTGATCTCAGAATCATGGAAATAGAGATTCATGTGGTTCATTAGTTTCTTGGCCTGTTTCTATATATCTTTGTGTTTCTTTTTTCCTCATTCTTCCAGTGTGGGAGAGACCAGTAGTTGGACTTAAAATGATTGTAAGCTTTTAAGACCGTGCATGATAATTTATTTAACCTACTTGTCTACCCTTTTTATTATGTCTGTTTTAAAATGTGCCTTTTTTTAATATTGTTTGGAATTTCAAAATAAATATCAGGATTAAAAAATAAAGCTATGAATAAAACATATTGTTCAGTCTGAGAAGATATTGTTTGAAGGTTCAGCCAATAATATTCATCCTTTCCAGTGTATAAGGTCCAAGTCTATGTACAAGGTCAGGAAGCCCTTTATCAAGAATATGCCCTGTAAGATGTCATTTTTAATCTCAACAAAATATCATTGCCTGAGACCCCAAAAGGTGGAGAACACAGGGATCTCTTCCAGACCCCAGAAGATACAAGCAGGAGGAGGAGATGAAGACAACAACCTGGTTTTGATAATGATACAAGAAAATGTCCATCTGACCGGAGGTGTTGGCTTTTGTGTTCTGTTGAGTCTGAACCAACCCATAGCTGTTCCTCCAGTAGGTTTTCAGAGGCAGTAAATCACACAGGAGGAGATTGCCTATCCTAATACTGTGTAGCATCTGGTGGATTTTAATATGTGCCTTTGGGATTGCTGTACAGCTTCTTACCACTAGGCCACCAGAGCTCCCTACCTAGAGGAAAGAATCAAATCTCTCCAATATATTTTACTCAGGAAGAGAATTTTCCCAGACCTGAAGAGGGAAGGAGTTTCTGGGGTAATGTAAAAAATCCCAAGTGAGCCAGGTTAGACATCTCAGAGCCTCAGGAAGGGATCCTGGGAGGACACCCATATGAGGATATTCCTATGAAAGTTGAGCCTGATTTTACATCCCATCCAGACCCAGCCACCTGTGAGCCTGTCCCTGGATACACTAGAGAAATGAGGGACTCTTCCCAGATGGAAAACACGAAATCTATCCAGAATCTCTCAAACTACACAGATGGCAGGAACCTCCCAGATCTTTACGTTTTGCTCTTATTTAATAGCTCATCAAAGACAACGGAATGAGAGGTCATATATTTGTACCAAACGCAGCAAAGGCTTCTGTCAGAAATCTGTCCTGAAGGCG